ATATAATTTGGCATTATATACAATTTATAAATTTTCTTTTGTAATTAAAGATCAAAGTAAATAATATTGAAAATTTGATGAACATGAAAGTTATTATTTTATAAAATCCTAAATAAACACTGTCGCCAAATATATTAAGTTAACAAATGATAAAGTGTTGAAAAATTGTAATCAGTGCAAATTCAAATTTTCTTAATAAATGTTTTTATACATATAAAATAATTATATACTTGGATTCACTTCACATATGGTAGAAAATAAAAAATATTTTATCATCATCCAATAATTTGTTTGATTTGACGCATGAAATTTGTTAATATTTTTATATAAGTGCGAGAGCAACAAATAATTATAACAATGATAAAACAACAAATTAACATACATACAAATTATCTGTAAATTTGGATAATTTTATTTAGGTTTGACGCCAGTGTTCATTAAAGTATTGTACAACAGTACCTTTAAGAATTATTCAACAATTAACATACATATTCTTAAAATTTGGTATTTATGCCAGTATTTATGGGGGTATACTTTTCAATTTCAATATTCAGGACTAATTAAATTTTTTTATTATGTGTTTTTAATTCTATTTTTACATAATTCATTCTTATGCAATCATCTTAAATCACAAGTCAGTATAACAATGATAAAATAACACATTAAAACATTTCAAGATTATTTGCAAGATTTTATAATTTAATATTTTTTTAAACATTTTTTATTAATGAATTTTCATTGAAATGTCAATTATAGTATCTAAAATCATAAGTGGTTAAATTAATGTAGTATTATTGGAACCTTTTAATATATTTTCATTAATTTAGTATTATTTACTTTTTTTCTTTTTTTTATTAGATTATTTATTTTTAAAATTTTTTATTCAATTGTGACATATTTTTAATTTCTCCCACTTTTGATTTTTGATATGTATCCCAACTGACAGTTGAAAACTTCTCAATAAGGTATTTTTTTTGTTAGATTACTATTTTCGAAGATTTTATTCACAAACAACAGTTTTTTCCATTATTTTCTTCTTTTAATTTGTTGGTCTCATTTGTCTGTGTATATGCTGCTATTCTTAACAAAAGTTAACGGAATTCTGCATCCGACAATGATTGCAAAAAGGAATCAATTCGATTTGCACCATATAAAGTTCCATACATCAGTAAAGAGACTGATATTAACACGTCGACTTACATATCGTTCGACATAAGATTCGAAGATTGATAATATATTTTAATTATATATAAACCATATGAAGTTTGTATATCATATTTATAAAACATATCAATATATTTCAATATGCTAATTAACTCAAAATAATGGAATGAAATATCTAGTCAACTAATTAAATTGCTATTTTCTTTAATGTATTATTTATAGTTAATACTATAATACTACTTTACTTTGTTATTAAAACAAGGTAATACTGGATATAATTCGACATTATATATAAAAAATCTGAAGAATGCCTAAAACTACTAGGCATTATGTATAAAAAATAATAATTTTCTACATTATTTAGTCATATAGGGCAGTGATTCCCAACCCCCGGTACCAAATAGTACCAAGGAACATTTTTTTTTCATATTATTTACTGTGGTGGACGAGAAGTTATTTATGTTTTTATTATATTCTGAATACATTTTTTTTTGCATTTTTAATTAATAAGTTACGTTTTTATAAAAGGCCCAATGTACTATTTCATATTTGGAATCTTATTTTGGTAGTTCTTGATCTTAATGTATATTCTTCATCGAACTTGTCTTTATTTACGGGAAGATCAGCATTAGCAATGTGTTTACAAAGCAAATAACATTGTTAGTAACGTTTGGCTTATCCGGATAAGTCCAAGTCTGGTGGTCAACAGCTCCGCAGTTACTACAACGACCATCGGATTCCTTAAAGTTCCATTCAAGAGGGCCAGTTCCTTTAGCTACATTCTCCTCAAATCACTTTGATTCTCAGGAACCTCAAGAGCATGCCTTATTTCCTTGACTTTATCATTGCCTTCTTCTAATCTTCCGGATTGGTTGCTAATATAGGTTCATCTTCACCCGACAAAGGCAGGCCATCTGTACGTGTAACCTTTCCTTCCTTAATACTACCCTTTCCACTAATGATAATCTTTGCGTTGATTTCTTTCTCCATTGACTTTAACGTAATACCTCTAGAACAAATTAATAAACCTACTTAATTAATATCGGGATTTTCGCATTATTAATTTGCAATTTTATAAAAGGCCCAATGTAAATACTATTTCGTATTTAGAATCATTGATGTGGTCCGTGGGATTAAAAGTTTTGAGTTTAGTGGTCCGCGAGATTCAATATTTTGAGTTTAGTGGTCCGAGAGGTCAAAAAGGTTGGGGACCGCTGATAAAGGGTGACTAGACCAGTTCACTCAAAAATCGGGACATTAATCGGATTATTACATACATCGATCCCGAAAAAATATTTCATTATTAATAATTTTTTGTATAGAGTACTATTGATAAAAATTAATTTTGCTGAATTAAAACTTAATTTAGTTTGAAATTTTCAAATCGAACGATTACATAGTACGGATAATCGTGTCCGCCAATATGACAGACTGTTTGAAACCGGACTAACCGAGGAACTAAAGTAGAAATAAACCAAACAGAAAAAGAGTTCATTGTATAAAAAAAGAAACGATCATTTGTTTGGGAAAACTAATGTTTTAGATTTTTTCGAATTTGTGTTGAAATTTTAAGGACTATAGTGAAGCATGAATATGAGAAGTATTGCTGAATAAACTTGAAAAGAAACTAAGAAATAATTTTACTGCAACCAAACATACACGTTAGAAATTGATGACAAAAATGAAACCCAATACTAATAACATTATCTGTTTTATTAAGATAGATATTAGTTAATATATACAAATTACTAAAGATCTACACATTGAACTTTTAAAACATATTTCAAAATGTAACATCATAATGATATAATTGTTATAATACAACACAAGTGAAGTAACTCGATAAAAACAAGATAGAAAGAAATGTAAATAAAACGAATCAATGTAAAACCACATGCCATACAATTTATTTAAATCAAACTTATTTATTTAATATTGGTCAAAAGTTTACTATTTACACTTCCTGTATGAATCTGGCATGATAAATTAAAAAAATAATTATTGTAATATAGGTACCAAATAATGAAACTGTTCTTATGTAGTGGTTGCAGACGCAGCAATAACAGCAGCTGCATAATGTTGGGCAAAGTAGTACTCGTCTCCAGGAGGCGGAGGTTGTTGGGAAGCCACCAACGAACTTATGTATGTTTCTACTGTCCATCCACCAGTCATCCAGGGCATCATCGGTTGCTGAGGCATAGCAGGCATTTGGGCTGCTTGCCAATTATTTACATTGTTATCACAACTCTGCCAGTCCGGAGGCAACATTTCGGCATGAATTTTCATGCAACTAGAAACTTGGGCCATTAACTTAGCATTCATTGGTGCGGCAACAACAGCTACTTCCTCTTTCTGTCCCTCTGGTTTCTTGCTACCACCCAACTCGGCCATCATTAATGTATATTCTTCATCGAACTTGTCTTTATTTTCGGGAAGATCAGCATTAGCAATCTGTTTACAATCATTGGCAATATGCCCAACAGATCCGCAAATAGTGCAAATAACATTGTTAGTAACGTTTGGCTTATCCGGACAAGTCCAAGTCTTGTGGTCAACAGCTCCGCAGTTACTACAACGACCATCGGATTCCCTTAAAGTTCCATTCAAGAGGGCCAGTTCCCTCAGCTGCATTCTCCTCAAATCACTTTGATTCTCAGGAACCTCAAGAGCATGCCTTATTATTTCCTTGACTTTATCCATTGCCTTCTTCAAATCTTCCGGATTGGTTGCCGTAATATAGGCGTGCAATGGTTCATCTTCACCCGGCAAAGGCTGGCCATCTGTACGTGTAACCTTTCCTTCCTTAATACTACCCTTTCCTCTAATGATAATCTTTGCGTTGGTTTCTTTCTCCATTGACTTTAACGTATTACCTCTAGGACCAATTAATAAACCTACAAAATTAATATCGGGATTTTCCTCTTGTGGAATCATCACCTTATCGGTAACCCTAATTACGGTGGGCTTGTAATCGAAAGGTGGCTTAAATTCAGGATTAATCGCCTGTATTTGCAATACAAGATTATGTCTATCCTCTTCGAGGCGACGTCTAGTGCGAATTTCTCTAGTGTTCAGACGTTTGCCATCACTGCTGTAAATAGGTTCAGGCGATGGAGAACGCTCTTCCAAATTCATTGAAATGCCAAGATTTCCTGAGCGAAGTTTCCTATTAACTTGCTCAAGCTGTAGCTGAAGCAAATATACAGCTTCCTGTTCTTTATTTAAATTAGTAGGCAGAGTCGTCGGCATACCCAAATAGAAAATCTTTTCGTGTTGGTTACCACCCCATCGCGATTTCTTTCTTTTTTCCTCTTGCTTCTCTGGAGTAGGAACCATCGTCGGCTGTGGGAGCAAACTTTTGTTGGCGGCTATAGTTGCCAGAGTTTCGGCCATTAACTTTTCGCCTTCGTCCTGCTGTTGTTTCGGAGGTGATATCCGAGTCTCACTATGCGTTCTACTACTCCGTCTTTCTCTCTCCCTTCTTTCATTATCCCTGTACCTATCACGCCTCCTGTCGTCGTCCCTACTCCGCCGCTTGTCCTTTCTGTCCTTCCTATAATGCCTGTCATAATCTTTGTATCTCCTATCATGATCCCGATCTCTTTTCCGATGACGATCAGAATCCCTGTCTCTGCTCCTGCTTCGATGTCTGGAACCCATTTCTTTCAGAAATTATTTGTTAACCTGTATGTTCTCTAACCAATTCGGATGTGTGTACTTTATTCCAAGAATATTATCCAATTGGTCAACGTCGTCGGTGGCATGTACAGATGTGGGATCTTGGATATCTAGATTAATCCAAACTCAATAAAATCTTACTCCGCAATTTCCTAAAGACATAAAAGAACATTACAAGCATTAGATATGTATCGTACTTAGAATAAACGACATTACTTATTAGTTTTCAAACAGTAATTTTACAATAATAACACTTAATGATTGACCTAGATATCAATCAAGCTATTTAAGCGCGGATAAAGTTGCAATAATTTACATAAAGAACAAAAATGTTTGAGATGGTGTTGTTATTATTATGTGCGAATATGTGCTGCGCAGCTATTGAACCTGAAGATTCGTTTTATAATGAGATATCTGCTTCTATTGAAGCAAAACCAACTATTGCATGGACTACAATTATTGTTTGTGATACAACAAATAATTCTATAGATTCCATGACAGATATTACCATTAAAGAATATTCAAAATCACCTGACGGCCCAAATTTAATTTATGTCTTTAATAAGAACTTTCATTTATTAAGCAAATTGGAAACTACGACAAGAATGGAACTCATAGTAGTTGATAAAATTGCTGATATTGGACCGTTTTTAGACGAAAGCAACAGTTCAAATGACCAGAACCGTTTTCGTAGAGTACTATTTTTAATTAACTCTGATTCATCTGATAATTTCGATAAATTGAAACCTGCTTTTCGTCAAATTTGGGACTACGATATTTGGAACGCAAACATCCTCTTTTATTACGAAACAAGGATTTACGATTATGTCTACAACCCATTTTTGGACGAATTAATCAGTCTAAATACATCAAAAACGGTTTTAAATCAGTTTGATAAATTTAGTAATCTGCACAAATATGAAATTATTATTTCTATGATTGATGACCCGCCAAAGAGTCCTTATGAAAATGACTCTTTCCAAGGGAATTATATAAAAATCTTAAATGAAATAGCAAATATTATCAATGCTACTTTCGTTATCAAAAAAGAAAAATCAATTGAAGAGTCTATTATAAATGTCCAACAAGGCTTGAGCGAATTTTCTTTTGTAGGCCAATTCCACGGAGTTCTGAAAGGAGTTAAGTATAGTGAGCCCTTTAAACGCGACGATATAGTGATATTGGTACCAAAAGCATCACAAATACCGCAGTATCTAAAATTGATACAAATCTTCCCAATGGAAATATGGCTGCTAATTTTATCATTGTTAATTATATTTTTAATTACAATGTATTATGTTGAACGTAACGACATTTCATCGATCTTCTTATTTCTATTTGGCGTACTTCTTGGGATGGTAGGAAATGAAAAGTTGAATAAATTCAAACTCATTACAAAGTTATTTGCTATAACATTTATATTATTTGGAATGGTAGTGGCCTGTACTTATTCCTCGTCTATGTTGGGTGCAACAATAACAAAAACTTATTACAGTGAAATTAACGATTTGGAACATTTAAAGCAAACAGGTATGAACATTTGCATAATTGATAATTTAAAGCACTTGGTGCCTGATGAATTCAAAGATCGCATCATTATTGTACACAGGAATGTTATCGTTGATAAAATTATGAATAGTAAAGCTGACTGCGGTTTGGCGCTGATGCGAAGTTACGCCGATGGATTTCAGAGAGTATCTTACAATACAAACGGGAACACATTTTATCACATAATCGACGAAAGCTTTATTCCTGGTTTTGAGAGCTTCTACTTTCATAAGTCGTCTCCTTTTATTTATAAAATTAACGAAGTTTTGAAGGCCATCGATGAAACAGGATTATTTTTATACATGGAACAAACTGTCGTCAAACGAAACGATTACAAACCTTACACTTCATTAACTTTATATCATTTAAACGCACCTATCAGCTTATTATTAATAGGTTATTTAATTAGCGTGGTTGTTTTTTGTATAGAGCTTTGCATTACCGCAATCAGAAACCGCGAACAATAATTATTATTTGTTAAACATATTATCATATTTATGTTAATATTTACTGAATAGTAATAGTAATCATAGTACCATAGCACAAACAAAATAGCAAAAAAAAATCATAAAAAAAATAATGAGAATAAAATAATCAAATTTAGTTGCCGGTATTCAGATCAGACTCTTTGGTTGCTATACTTAACATAATAAGAAGATTGTGAATGCCACAAAAATAATGCACGCAAATTCTGTACTACTTTTTGAGTAACTGTTTTAAATGTGCCTTATCAAAATTTCTATTGCTTTTGTCAAGAATAAAACAATTTTATATTCCATTGTCACCACTTTAACGCACATAACTTTATCTATACGATTGAAATTATTGTTATTTATGGACGGACTTGCATGTAACACTGATTTCCTTTTCTATTTGTATAAACTTTGATAAATTTGCAATATGATTTACTTGTTTGTAACAGTCCATTTAGTCATAGTTTTGAATTTCACAATTTAGAATAAACATATATACTAAGCTAGAATATAAAAAAAATCATACAAATTAATATATTTAAAATAGTAAATAATAATTAAATTGTTACTGTTCATTAATCCAATTATAATTTAATAATGTACACTGAGACATACTACTAATATGCTTTGTACTATTTTTCATTAGATATTAATAACATTTATACAATACTTGTAAAACATATACGTATGTTCCTAAATGTTTATAGGGTAACCAGATGTATGTTTCATTATTATAGTATTGATATTTATTAACTAAATCTTTATTGTTACAAATACATTTTACAAATTTATTTATGTTTGTCTGGCCCCATTTGGGTCTAGAATTTCTGGCCCTTTAAATATCTTAAATGAACTAGTGTCAATTTTGGTTATTTTGAATAATTTTATTTCAGTAAGCTTCTACTTACTTTAGCTAATGTATATAAGCAATGTATTTGCATCAGTTAAAATAATCTTTATGTATTCATGACTATTTTTTATTTACTGATGATTTCCATATAACCTTGAAAATAACATTTCCTGTGAACATCATTACTTATATTTAAATTAATTAAATAGATAGATATTACACAAAAAAATGTAATAAAGATCCCTTTGTATTTGTATGTGTATATTTAACTTCATTATTCAAATAGATGTATAAATTATGATCATATCACTAATCAATAAATGTGTCATATAGTGTTGTTTCTCATTAATAACCACTTCTTTCCATTCTAATAAAGAAAACTTCTTCGATGCATACAAGCTTTATGAGAATATGTACAGGAATCTGTGTAATGCTTAAGGTACAATTGATTATTGTAATTACTGTCACTGTAAACTATATTGTATGTGTTTAATAAAGAGTATATATTACCTAACAAGTGTTACATCAGCTGGCAGATCATGATTTTCTAAAATGGCCTAGTAATGTTATTAAATTCTTTCCAATCCACCTACTTTGTTGCTTGGTTTGCGGGTAGCTTTTACACGGAATATAACCTACAATAATGAGTCAAGTATATAAACATACGTAACCTACAAAAAGCCAATTTCAATAGAATAATCGTTTCTTCGTTCGCTTGTTCATAAATACCTGAATGTTTTTCCTAATAATATTGCCTTGAATCGAATGTATTAGCTATTTTCAACGGATAACCTTAAACGCTTCGCCTTCGCTCGCAAATGGACACCGTACAGAGTGGCAGAGGTTGCATACGAAATGTGTGATGTGGTGACTTGTGGCGACTAGATAAATTCAAATACAGACATGTACAACTTAAATAGGAATAATGAGACTCGTTTTATTTTATTTCTTCGCGATTTATGTTCAATATTATTATATGTTGATCATGAATGATCCATACATACAACTAATTTAACAAAAGAGCACAGCCATTACCTTTCCGTTAACAACACCATCAATAAATAATTAAACGTTGAATTGATTATGAACATATTATATATGTTTTCTAACATTTCTGTTCGTTTCGTGGAATCATTCCATACTTCCCATTAAACACAAATAAACGAGAAACGCCATCTAGTGAAGCTGATTAGGCGCTCGCATATATCTGACCACGTCTGAACTGCGCTCTAAATCTTAGTAAATTCACTTAATTGTATCACAAATTGGCACAAAGAACAACAGATGGATATTAGTAAGTTATTTTTATCTACGGATCAAAATACATACATGTCAACTCCTTGCAGGTTATGTCTTGAAGCACCGAAAACTGCCGAAAACCACTGAGAGCAAAAGCAAGCTGATGGCAGCTGATAGCAATTACATTCTCCCCCTTGTGGTACCTATTCGCAACTACTGTATTATCTATGCGGCAATGACTCTCAAAATAAAACGAATTGCAAAATATATTATTTAATTTTACTGGCGCTTAATCTTATCAGTAGTTTTACAAAATTTAAAGACCGAAACTGTATTAGAGCAAAAATAGCCATTCTTTCTACGTACATTAAGTTGCATATCCTTTAAATTTCTTTTCAATTTGGTAACCTAAAACCAGTAACAACAACATTAAATTAAACCTTATTTATAGTATTTAGTTTATAGTATTCTTGAAGATTATAGTTACTTTTCAAGAACATCATGTACTCGCAGTTAATATTACTGAAAAATATATTTACCCCAGTCAATTTTGATCATATCCGATCCCTTCTCTGCCATTCTCTGCTATCATTACTACAGCAGTATTAGTATTGATTAGTATTTCCACTAACAATATTTGGCATTATACTGGCACCATGCTTCACCCCATGTACTCGTAAAGATCCATCGACTACAGCCTCGGCATCTGTCGCTTGCGCATTTGGCGTCTACCTGCAAAGATGTACCGAAATTCCGAACGTTGCAGTATTTCTGATTATCAAACTCTAAAGAATTGCAATTTGGTGCATCAAAGTTGACCAATTTAGCTTTAGCGGCTGCCTTAAAAGGTTTAGTTTCCAGGAAACTTTTTAAATAATTAATTGCTTTTAAATAAGATAACTTGCATGTCTATCATCGCTGAGATAGTTTCTCGTTAAAATCACTGGATTTCAAACAAATTTCCCGCATCGACATAATTGAATTAGTGAAGTAGGATTCACGCCCATTTCATGATTCTATGACTTTCGCATTTCTTCCTAATAGTTATAATCACGGACATTCTCTCACACATACAGCATTGCATTTATCGTAGATCCACCTCCAAGTACCTTTACTGCAGGCATTTAACCCTACGTAGTACGTTTTAGATGGCTCGGTTTTGTATTGTCAATCTTCTTGGGTTTCTTTTCTTGTAAATTGAATAGCAGCGCTGCTATCCTTAAGAATGCGAAGAAAACAAGTACTGAATATATTACAATAATTAACTTTTACTTCTGACGTCGATGATGGATATCCGCCGGCCTCGATAAGAAGAATTATCAAATGCAGAATCTCCGATAATCTATTAGCGATCACAGAACCCGCAGTTCCCCCGCCAACAATAATAAAATCAATTTATTCACCACCGAACAAATTGGACGAATAATCTGTGTGATACTTTGATACTTTGATCTTTTTCACAACTGGTAATTTAGCCATGGTGCACCGCAGTTCATTGGTCAGTTTTTCAATATTTATTTTTTAATAGAACGATTCGCAATAATACGTACAGTTCCAAAAGCTGCAGTAATGCACATTTCTAGTCGTTTTAATTTTGAAAATTTATATTCGAGGATACATACATTTCTAATAAAAATCAAGCTTATTCCCTTCGAACATGAACTTGCAATTCTATTAGCTCCGTTCGTAAATTTGGATGCGCTGAATCCACTTTCACGTTAAATGAAGTTAAGAATATTTTGAACATTTCCTATATGACAATCTGGTATCGAATTATTTAATTAGTCCTGTGACTTCTTAAGAATATTAAAACCGAATATTATGACCGTGAATATTTTTTCACGGTCATTATTAAAGTCATTTAATAATGGGAAATGAATTGAATTATATGATTTTCATAAAGCTTGAGTTTTGTAGCGAAGGATTTTATATCTTCATAACATTGTGTAATTGCTAATTTTGACCTTGCTGAAAACTTGAATTAGGCCGCAAAACATCTTAAATTGAGCCGCATATGGCCCATGGGCTCATAACTTAAGAGACACAATTACATTATATTGATGTTTTATTTTTAGTATATACAGTGCAAAATGGATTGTAAGAAAAATGACTTGCTTAGCGAGCGACGTTTCGCATAACGAGTGATGATGAGAAGAGAAGTCCCAGATTTCGCACCTGCTATATCATTTTTAAAACTTGTGTACACATATTATGTGTATTTTGGAATATATTAATATTCTCCGATTTATTACTGTAAATGCAAAACACAAATGTATTGTGTCCAACCATTATTTTAATATAACACACTATGTACGTTTTTTTTATATAAATAAAGTTCCCGAATTGATACAAGTAATATAAACTCACTTAATGGTGTGTCAAGTGGAAAACAGTTCCTGTTCCTGCTAGTAGTCATTCTAGTTTCATCTTAGTGTTTTTTGTGATTACAAAATTTCCAAAGTCCGGGATTGTCTGGCGCACAATCTACATCATTTTTAAAACTTGTGTACACACATTATCTGTATTCTTAATGTATTAATCATCTTCGATGTTTCTTTGTCATCTTTGTTTATAGCGGACTATACTTTGAAAATATAATTTGTGTTTTATAGCAAAAATGCAAAACACAAATATATTGTGAGCAACTATTATTATATTATATAAACAAACTATGTACACTTTTTTAGATAGACAAATATTAAAAGTATAAAAAGACCTTCACCAAGACCCCGGATTGATATAAGTAATATAAACAAATATTAACTCACTTCACCATGTGTGAATGGGAAAACAGTTCCTGGTGTTAATAGTAATTTTACTTGAATCTTAGTGTTGTTTCTGATCACACATATTCCCAAACTTGTGTTCAGACACGTTATTTGTATTTTTTTGTGCAAAATTTAATAACACTTGCATTTCTCCGAATAAAAAGCCAAATAATGGAACTAATTATAGATATGAAAAGCAAAATCGTTAAAAATCGAGACGAAGTTACACTTTTTTTTTCGGCATGGAACGCATTATCGTATTTTACATTGGTTTATATGGAAAAAACTGGTTCATTATACGAGGTTCCACTGTATAAACTAAAATATGTACATGACACATCAATCGCCTATATATAATTTTATATGTTTATTGTCATTATATTTTCAAAATTATATAAAACAATTGTATTTCCTGTACTTTCATATAATGTAACAAACATATATAAAATATTTTACATATAATGTAATATGTCTCTTGTATTAATCTTTAAAATTTTGCATTCTGCATTTGCCATTAATTTTTTTCTATAAAATCTAGGATATTGTTTATTCTTAAGTCCGGTGTTTATGAAATTATACAAACAAATATGTGCTCGTCCTCCTTTTTTTTGTGAAATTTTGTTTTTGGGAAAGTTTAATGACATCAATAATATGCAAAAATTGGCAATGAACTTTAAAAAAGAAATATGCGAATTGGAGTTATCATTATTAATATAACGGAACAAGTTTTGTTAGAGATACAGGGAAAGAAGAAAACGCTTTGGTAGTCTTTATTCGACATCGCGATGATGAAGTTATTAATCATTGTTGCTGTTCTACTGTTCGGCTGTCAGGCGAGGCCATATGGTGATGAGAAGAATGCGAAGATACTGCAGAACGACATGAACCACTATAGGATTAACGATTTCGGACAAGGTTTTTATTCAAATAGGTAATTTTTTTAACCTATTAGAAATTTAGAAATTATTAAAATAATAAAAAAATAATTTTAATTTCTTAGGTTAGAGATTATATTTATTATAATTACTACAAATAATTGTCTAATTAGATGATTATAATAATCTAAAAAATATTTCGGTTGATAATCATTATTTGTCCCAATTGGAGCGAATATAAAAAATTGTAATAAAATAATTATAATATTTTTAATTTTAGTTTCCGAACGAGTAATGGAATTACAAAGAAGGAATTTGGTTCTGTTGACTTTAATGTCGATCATCCAGTGCTCGTAGTTCGAGGAATATACTCATATATCGGTACAGATGGTAAAAAATACGAGGTTACTTATGTGGCCGATGAAAAAGGGTTCCGAATTTCTAAAATGGCTATTATAAAAACTGAACCACACAAAAACATAAAAAGATATTAATTAGTTCCTCATATAGAGATACAACATAAGTTTATTGTATTGTTATTTATATTTTATTTACCTACTGACCTGTTTTATTATTTAATTATAGATGTTAATAATTTTACATTCTAATAATATTTATTTATATAAATATATATTTTTCATTATAATTGTTTTATTTTAAACAAATACCTCTTTTCTATACATACAATAATATAATACATATTCAATATTTTACTTTTATATATGTCGCATTGTCATGTTGACTCTCGGGGGCGGCTTGTTGAGAAGTCATTGTTACAATCAAGCACCTATAATATTCCAATAATCTTAGTAAAACACAGAATAACGTCCAGCAATCTCAGGGCTAGTGATCCAAGTCAGCTTTGTTTCACAGCATCTAGTCTGTTCTCTAATCATTACCTATAATTTATGAGAATGCGCAAGCGCGGCGCGTATAGTTTTGTTTACCTTAGAAAACGGCGATGACTATTTTTGACGCCATTGTTTCAGAAACGTTTGTGATCAGTTTGATACAGTGTTCAATATTTGTATTTTTGCAATTATCCTAGTTTAAAACACAATATCTCAATGTGATAAATCATTTAGCAGTTATCACCGTTTGATTCGCGATATCTCAATGTAATAAATGCAAAACGTATATTTATTATGATTTATTTTTCTGTACAACAATAAATTACATTTATTTTTTGGTTTTGGTTTTATTTTAGAAATACATCTCAATAATTTATAGACGTATTTATTTCCTTATCCACTCTAGTGCCATAGGTCCGAAAAAATGTTAGTTTTGTTTGAACATTAATTAAATCTTTTCAACAGTAAAGGATCCCACCGATAAGCGACTGGCAAACGGGTCGACAGGACCCTGCCAAATGGGAAGGGGTTTCCAGAAGGAAGCTCATTATTGAAAGAAGAAGAAGAAATCTTTTCAAAGTGACCTTCACTCTAACTAACCATATAATAAAAAATTTCTTTCACATATTGAATAGGATCGTTTTTTATCAATTCTATTTACATATTTCGAGTTCACAAATGGACAATTATTATATTTCAATCTAAATCAGGTACTACAGAAACAAAGAATCTGATCTTACGGTTGTTTATTACTATTTTCCAAAGAATCCCTAAAATCAACTCAAAGATTTCAGAAAGTAAACGTAATTTATTTAGATTCTGATGCTCTACAATAAACAACAAGTATTTGATTTATATTTCCATAAAGCATTAAATAAAAAAAAAGAGTCTGTGAAACTAGCATAATTCTTAGAAATTCATTACAAATTACAAAAACCTGAGATGTTAGGGTTAGTAAAAATGGGGCGTTGAATGGATTATTGAGCATCAACAAGTGCTTGCTGATTTTTCGAGTAAAATCAACCTAAGCGATGAAGCACATTTTCACCTTGATGGCTTTGTTAATCGCCAAAATTGCCGCATTTGGACCCAGAGAGAACCCAGATGTCGAAAAACAAATACATACACAGAGTGTCACTGTTTGGTGCGGATTTTGGACTGGAGGCATAATTGGACCATACTTTTTTGAAAATGAGGCTGGTCAAGCAGTGACTGTTACTGGTGCTCGATATCGCGACACACTTCTTTCTGCCCCAGTTGGATGATATTGATATAAACGATATGTGGTTTCAATAAGATGGCGCCACATGCCATACAGCCCGTGAAACAATTCAGTTACTGCATGAGACATTTCCTAGTCGTGTACTCTCTCGTTTCGGTGATCAGAATTGGTCCCCTAGATCTTGTGATTGATTAGATTTCTTGTTATGGGGTTATTTGAAGTCAAATGTTAACAAGCCCACAACCACCCGTGCATTACAGGAAGAAATTAAACGCTGTGTTATGTATAACCGTTATTGTTTATATTGTTTGCCCTTATTATTTTATACATGTTTATGTTGTGGCGCTTACTTCAGACCAGATATGACGTCACGTACCAACCCGGTACGGTACACCCTACTCCAGCCCGTAGCGGGTATACCTGGAAGGGCAGATAAGGATGATACCCGCTGAGGGTATATAAGCGGCCGGATATACGGATATAGCTCTCTCTCGAATGCCGAAAGAGCTAAGGCTTACAGGGGCATGCACCTTTAAATAATTAACATTGTAATCAATCCAAATAAATAAACTGAAATACTGATATACGCGCCGCGTTAGCCAGTAAGGTTCTCGGTATTATGTCTTGTAAGTACCCTTTTGTATCCTGCCTCTTTCTCTCTGTGTACCGTTACTTATCCGTGGATAAGCCGAATAAACATACTTGTGAACACCGCCATTCTGGAAGTAAATGTTCCCACTCTATGAAGATTCCTCTCCTTTCCATATAACTGAACTTCTCCAAAATGTAATACAAAATCAGTCTGAGAACTCCACAACGACAGAAATATAAGAAGATCTACTGTGTTCAAATTCCATCCCCGAGACACGACATATAAAATTTTTGCTTTAGCGGTGGGATGAAAACAAAAACATCTCGCAACGATTCGAATTAAATATCCTGCGATATAAAATTTTGGTGGCAGCGGCGTACGAACTCAAATAGTCCGAGTACCAAGTACCAAAATCAAAAGTTGAGGATAGCAGCGATTACGCTATCGATATAAAATTTTGGTGACAACAGTACTCGAATTCTCAGCGTGACCAAGCACCGTCATATGTCAACAACATAAAGGATTGAAGCCAAATCATCAGGAATCAACTACCGTTGGCAGATCGGTCGTGTTAGTCATCTTTGGTCGAAACTTGCAACGATTCAACTTCGAATTTTTTGGTTCCTCCGAGTCTAATTGCGACAGAGGGCAAACCATTTCAGAAACTACGACGGTTCAGGAATCAACAAAGTATAAACCGACGGAAAGAAAGAACAATGTTCAAACTCGTGTAAATGGATATTCGATTATTTTTGTATAATTATCGTAGTGTAAAGCATTGAGCTGCTGTTTTCGTTATTAAATTTACCGTTCTGAACGAGCAAAATATTAATTTTCGTCGTATACTCTTTTCCAATTCAAAGATTTTCGTTCATTTTACCATTATTTTTCTCTTGTCTTTTTTTGATTTTTTTTTCTCTCAGAAAAAAAAATGTTTTCAAAATGGTTAAAAATACCAGGTCGCAAGCGTCTAGCTCTGCGGCATCACTCGATCCTAATACCCAAGACATTAATACTTCTAATAACTCTCGATTTTTTTTCTCTCAGAAAAAAAAATGTTTTCAAAATGGTTAAAGATACCAGGTCGCAAGCGTCTAGCTCTGCGGTATCACTCGATCCTAATACCCAAGACATTAATACTTCTAATAACTCTCTCGAGAACTTTATCCAACAACAAGCCTTGAAAAGCATTCCATTACAATGGTAATCTATCAACTCTCGAATTTTTCATAGCAAAGTGTAACAACCTAATCGAAAGTGAAAGAGTTCGACCCTTAGAACCTCAAATAATAAATTCTATAACTTCAAGCTTTGTTGGCGAAGCAGACTGCATTAATAAAAAGATTTTCTGAATCTTGCGATGTTGCGTACTGGAGGAACAAACTGAATGTATATCACCAAGGTGATGATGAATCAGTTTTTTTCATTTAAGATGCGCTTAGAAGAAATTTCATGTAAAATTGTTGATGCAATGACGATAACGTTCGATATGCAAATGGGACGAGAACACCAACGATTATTACCATTCGAAGTTTTAAATAATTTCAAATTAGGTCTCCTTCCAGAAATTAGAAATCAATATAGATAGTGTTGATACACTAGAAGAAGCTTATGTATTAGCCGAGAAAAAAGAAATTGAATACAATAAAAGAAAACATCAAGACGAACTTTAGAAGATGACTAAGTTAACTAATTATTTCCAAAATTTTAATTTGCAAAGCAATTCTAGTAGACAAGACTTTTCCACAAATCATAGGAATCATACCAATTATAGATCTACTGTTCATCAGCAAGGAAATTATTCAGACAATTATAAGAATCCTAGCAACAAATTTCGAAATGATAATCTAAATCGTAGACAAAATTTTCAGAATAACGGAAACAACGGAAATCATAGTAATTTTATTATAATCATAATAAAAATCGCGTAAACAATTACAATTAGGATGGAGCTAATTTTTCAAATAACAAAAGAAATACTTTTGATAATCACGACAGACCTTCATTTAATAGTGGACGCAATGATAATCGGTGTCGTAATTATAATGTTCAGAATTCTAATACAAACAAATTTAGTAATGGTTATCGAGATAATAGAAACAATGCTCGTGATTACAGACCAACTCAAGAAAATGTTACAAAAACAATGCTCGTGATTATTATTCAAAACAAGATAAACGTTATCAAAGTAATTACAATGAAGCTCGTAACTCTAATAACTCTAATGGTTATCGTGTACCAAAGAACCCAAGATATAGGAACCGCGATTCGCGAAATAATTCGGGAAACAAATTGGGGCTTCCGAAATAAAACAGCAGTCTATGGAAGCCCATAATATCGTCACTATAGATAGCTCACTTAAACCACAATTAAAATTAGAATTAGATATCTCCGATGATACAAATTTAGTATTTTTGATAGATACCGGATCTTTGATAAAGCGACTGGTCAGCTCCAGGTGACGCTTCGGAACAATATGCCATTCAACGTGTGCTTGATGATCTGAGAGATAAGGCCATCTGTAACAGCGCTGTTATCTTCTGTGACTCTCTCACATTAATGGTAAACGTATAGTGTTCTGCTGGATTCCGAGCCACGAAGGAATCAGTGGATATAAGAGGGCAGATGAACTAGCCAGGATGGGACTACTCCTCCCATTTACCGACTTCTTTATGGAATCTAAGAAACATTATACACAAAAATGGCAATCCGAATTCGTTAATCAGAGTTAATGGAAGGGAAGACACTATTTCATCGTAAATCAGTGTATAAATGGAAAACTCTGGTTTATAGAGAGCGGCATCAAAAAAAGAAAGAAGTGTCAAGTATGTGTCGCCTTCGATCGAATCATATGCTTTGTTCAGAACATATGCATCGTATCGGCCTAGCGGAGAACAATTTATGCCCGTGCGGGTAACCGGGATCGAACAAACAAATTCTCCTCCAATGTGCACTTAACACGAATCAAACCACCAGATTGTACCGCAGACTTATGGACATGGAAATACAATTACCAATCTCCCTACACACTATTGGCAGACAACAATCACGGAACAATATGTGTCCTTATCGCTACCCTGTCCAAAAGTAAGATCCCAATTAAAAAAAGTAAAGCTACTACCGAGAAAGTATATGCAAACTAATTAACCTGCCCGAGGTTCCTTCGACCCTCTTGTCATCGGAGCCGCAGGTGCCCCGGCTCGAATTGTCTATCCTATGTTTTTAGAACCCGTGTATTCATACTAAAACCGTGGCTGGCGTAATTGTGTCAGTGTGCAACAAACAGGAGGTGTAAACCCCCAGGATGCGAAGAAGAAGAAATACAAGAATTTCCGAAGAAATGTAATAGGTCTTATATTAACACTAAAGACAATCCAGTAGACCTTTTGTCTCGGGGTATGTTGTCGTCAGAAACAACACTGTGCGCCCCGAAGTTGTCGAGGAAGCATAGCTCGGAGGAATTAAGCACGGAGAAGATTATTATTAATTAAGCATTAGTCTAAGTATAAGAAATAAGAAATGTTGTAAGTAGTAATAAACAGCCATCTTGAATCCACAAACGAGTTATTCACTCGCACAACTTGTTCCTTCGTCCAAAACACTATTGATGACTTTTTTTCTAATTGCGAGCTTATCTCTGCCATCAAATTATACAAAATAGCGCAATGCTGAATTGTGAATTAATTTTATATATTCATAGATAATATTAATGGTACATAATGTATATATTTTTTTTCTGGTTTATGGTACAATAAATATTAAAATTAGTATCTTGTTAAATATAACATATACAATAACAAATAATTTGTCTAATTATCCAAGTATTAGTTAATGAAATAACGTGTTATTAACTTAATAATATCTTATCTTGTAATGAATACATTTGGTGTTAATCATGTTTAAATGATATTCCATAATTGATTTATAAACATTTTCACTCTAAAACCAAAACATTTTAAACTTCATTTTCTAATTCCTTTTTGAAATTAACCCAGAAATTTAGATAACCATCACAGTCATCTAATTCTTTCGATGTGAATTTGGCTGCAATTGTATGCTTTCCATGTTTTCTTGGCGTAAATGTGAAATCGACTAGAACTTTTTCATTGCTTCTCACGTTGTCTTTTACTTTGAATACTTCGTCGATACCAGGTCCTTCGATTTTAAATTCACCTTTCCTCAATGGTATGGGTAATGGATTTACCAAGTATGCAGATGCTTTGCACGGTGTATCTTCCACTGGATCGTCCTTTAATTGGATTTTCACGTCAGGTTTTCTCACGCGAAAATCATCCTGCGCGTAATACTCGTATTCGGTTCCATCGACCCTAGCCAAACACGAAATATTGAATGCGGCTTGATCCAACAATCTCTTGAAATATTCTTCGTACGTCACTTGAAGTTTCATCTCTTGACTAGAATTTTTCTTTAAGGAAACATTGAAATGTTCCGTCTTGACGGCATCACCAATTTTGCCTCTATATGTCACAACTTCTACTCGCAATAGAACATTGATATTGTAGTCGTTTACAGAACTTTTGTTCTTCGCGAATAGCGAGACATCAAATGGTTCTCCGATTTTAATATCATCTTTCATGTGGAATTGGAAGTAAATATCGTTGAATTCCTCGTTTAAGTAATACCGAGAGAAAGAACTAGAGGATTGCTTCAAAGCTTTCAACATAATCGCACGTTCTTCTTCGGTAGTTTCCTCATATTTGTAAGTGTGAGTGATATCTTCTCTTTCAAACTTTCCTGGTGCTTTGGTGCTTATCAATTTGCCAATTGAATGAGGATCTTTTCGGAGAAGTTTTAACGGCTGATTCGGCCCTTCGTATCGCCAATAAACCTACATCAAATAAAAGATTACATAACATTTCTTTCATTAAAGTATATATATATATTTAATTTACTTTATCGGCATTGACTTCTGCAAATAAGAAACTGGCATCGTATGGGCGCAATATTTCTCCTCGTTTAACGGCGTTCACTGACGATGGACCGCATTTGTACATATCATCACTCATTTCTTGTGGAGTTGCGTCTATAGCTTGCCAACCACCGTAGTCTTCGCCCAAGTCAGGCCTATCCATCCAAACTTCGTTCCATACGTGGAAATTCCATATGGAATCGGAATTGAGTTCTTCCATGACTTCGCCTTTCTCATTCATGAAATAATCTACGGTTAGAGAGCTTTGTGTGTCATGTGCGGACGAGTAATTCGTAACGGTTCTGGCTGGTATTCCGAGAGATCTACAAACTAAAATTGTATTACAGCAAAACTATAAAATACATAGTTTAATAAAGTAATACTTGTAGTAAGAACTCCTGAGAAAACCCAGCATTGGCCGTATTTTACAGGCTTCTTTTTCTTGTAAAATTTCTGCAGGATTTCCATGCTTCCAACCCATTTCGTTGGTGCAGTTCCTCCTTCGTAATCGTTGGACCAATTTCCTTCAATTGCTCCGTCATCATCCACCGAGTTTACTGCTGCGGATAAAGCTCTAACCATGCTGACTGGGTCGGATCTGGACATGGCGCTGAGTTTACCTATATACTTTACTAAATATAAGGAACAATCTAAAATGTCTTTCTCAAATTGTCCGTAATTCCATATGCAGGGTCTAAGTCTATTCGAGGTACCCCTCCAAATTAATCCGACGTTTTCAAGCACAGTCTCAGTTCTCCACTCCTCAGAGCTCATATAAACTTGATCCTCTGACAACCATGGATTACAAATGATGTAGATCGGTAATGACCACGAATAACTGTATGACCCATCATTAATAATCTTTGTGTCTATATCTAACTTCCATTTAGCGACTATACATTTTGGTGATGGAGTTACAAGAACTGTAATGCTATTTTGAAAAGAGTTTTCTAAAACGACGCTCCAGGATAGAGATTTATCCGGAAATTTCATAAGTGGTAGAGCAATTAAAGTTCCTTGTCCGTGTGAAGGTTTATCTTCATCTGAAACATTCAACGACTATTAATATTAGTACTGGTGACTGTATACAAGTGTACCTTGAACTGTGAATATAAAGGAAATGCCGTCCGTGTCTTCATTGTAAGGTCTACTAAGATCAATGTCTAGTTTAAATGATTGTCCTCGCCTGACGACTAAGCTAGGTTCAAATTCCCTGCTCATCAGTTCGTATTTGGATGTATGGTGCAAGGCGCCATTTATCGCGATACACGGATCGATTTTCCTCACAATTAGAATGTCGCTTTCTTTCTCTGAGTCTATATAAGGTACGCCATCTGTGATATCTGCAAATATCAATTTATCTTAGCATAATGTTTTCTCGATGCAATTAAGAATGCATTTAAGAAGGACTAATTGTAGTTTATTTATGTGCATGTGAGACCCAAGTGTAGGCAGCTGCTTCATGATTACGCCATTTGCTAATCACACCTAAGCTTTTATTGCCTTAATGATTTTTTTTAATTGTTTTTTTCTTGGAAAATAATTAATCTACAGCATCCGTATTCTCATTTAAAACAGAAAAAACATTAAATATTTAATGAATCTTCTTTACATTACATCATACTTATGTTGTAGATAAACTGCGGCTTTACAAGTTTATCTAAACAAAAGACTCATAAAATAAGACTAACAATAGACTGTTGCAAGCTTTCGCTAAAAATATAAGTTGTGAAAAATAGAATAGCCTTTTAATATCGTATTTAAGTAGTAGCCGTTTATGTTTTATGAACTAAAAACGAAAAACAAAGTCATTATTTTTATATCCAAATGGGCTAATTTAAAATATATTTTAGAATATTCTAAATACTTGAAAATTATAAATTTTCTATTGATAAAATTACAGAAATAAAAGTGATTGATTTTGATAAATTGTTATTTATCTAATTTATCTACAATTGACATATAGTTAATAAATTTATTATCCATTAGATTAACGATCAAAATAAATTCAGAAGCATAATAAATATTATTATTTTTTAATAAATAGGAAAAAACTTTCAATAAAGATTTGCTGTTAAATTTGCCAAATATAACACTACCACGTTGTTATTCATATTTATGACTTTCGCACTCTTTTGGGAAATATAGCTCAAGAGGATTAAAAACTTCAAAACATATATTTTTAGTCATGACTGATAGGTCAAGTTAGGATCAAATGTCGGTATTTTTGGTGTTAATAAATAGAAAGAGCTTCTGACAACTATACGTATTTATCTTAAATCTGTTTACTTGTTCAAAAATGCATTAATTTGCATACTTTACCGAAGATTATCATAAAATATTTTACATCACTCATGTATTAAGAATTTCTTGTTTACATCTTTCAATTCTTTATACATTAAAACATTTTTTCTAAAAATCGCTGTATTAAATTGACAACAATAAAATATGTATAAAATTCTAAATATTAATTAATCATAATTACACCATCATACAAATTCAAGTAAATGCTTGCAGGTAATTAACAATTCGATTAGCGTACAAGTATACAAATTATATATACAAGAAATATATTATTTAATTATATGTACACTTGTAAATATATATCGAAGTTTTTGTTCTGAAAAATCATCTAAAATAGTATCAAAATCTTACTTCATGACTATCAATCGACATGATCGCTAAACTGTTTAATCTATCTTGATTCATTGTTGATCTTAAATAGTTTTTTAATCTAGGAAATGACCTTTCTCATTGGAATTGTTAAATATATTCGAAGGGCAATAAATATATTTGAAAATGTTGTAGCTCTGTCCTTTTCAGATAAAAATTGAAACATTTTAGATGGTTGTTGGAAATATTTTGATGAAATAATATATTTTAGAGTTTTTATTTCTTCGACTAACATATTACCATCTAAGTCAATATTAATAGATGTATCATTAATCTTAGGAACTGTATGATACATTTCTAAATCTGCTGCATGTTTTTTAGTGCTTCTTTTTCCATGTTTTCAAATCTTCCCAAAAACTCATTATGATTTTTGAATTGTTGTTTAACTTAAAACTAAATTGAAAAATGATAAACATTTTTTGTTATATTTTTAAAATTAATACACCTAGATAATTATTTTTGTAACATGTACTATTTTGAAATATATACATTTTGATGTGCTGCGGGGCCCATTCAAGCGCGGGGCCCGATAACATTTTATGGAATTAATGAAGTATGTGCAAAGTGTTTCGAGAAATTCTACTAATAATATCTTGAAATACTAATAAAATAGACGCAACTTCTTTTAGAAAAATCGCATAAATATAAATAAAAATCTAAAATATATATAATATTTTGGTAGAATAAAAAATCTATTTAGATCATTTGATTCATTGGATCATGCTGTAAAAATGAAATTTAAAGAAATGTAACTAGTACATTCAGTATTAAATATTCAGTTTTTATATATTATTTAATTAAGTAATAATATTTTGAATAGCCGGGCTCTTTATGATGATTAAATATATATATTTCATTACATGTATTACTGTTTTTACTGAGAACTTTTAATGTTTTGAATCATTTCATTTGCATGGTTTTGATCAATCTATTTTTACATCCTCTGGAAGGCCAAACTTAAGGCGTGGACTGCTTTCGTATAGTCTGAACATATTTATCAAATTATTGAATTACTCTATTGTTTGTTACAGCCGCATCAGTTCTACATAAATATCTCGAGTACATCATATACAATTAAATAAGACATATATATATATACTTTTCAATGTATCAATTATTGTTTTCAGTTGTACATTTTAACATATTTTCTTATGGAAAAAAAAATCATGATTGAGATAATATATTAAAAGTTGAAGTTTATGAATACAGCAATACCTTGCATATTGCGGATTCCGCCATTATCCAGGAATGCTTGAAACCGGACTAATGAAGGTTTTGGTCGATAGGCTTTTTGTCTAAATTGACGCGAATAAATATATGTAAATAAATGAAATCAAAGAACAAAATATTTAGAAAAATAAACCGGACAAATAGATTATTTATGTATTTTAATTTTTCTTAATTAAAATTTCAAATAGACTATATTTAATCTGTGCATTATGCTAACTATTGCTTTATATATTATAATAATTCAATTCAATATATAAAACTTATACGAATACTTAAGAAAAACATTTCAATTATAATCTATGACGTTAATTGTATTAAAAAAAACATGCTGATAATTCTTTCTCAACAATATAATTTCTATGTTTTATATATCTCTCTAAACAAATACTTCATATACTTCTATTTGAACTCACATTAGTTATCAACGTCTAAAAAAGCTATAATATTGAGTGTATTACTTTTTTTGTACTACATTTATTTGGCAACCTTGTATCTAAATAAAATAAAGACGTCATCATTTAAAATAGAAAAATAAAAATAATACAATCATTATTTACTAACTTGTTTTGCACTATATTTTTTTATAAGAGATTTGTGTTTTAATTGGCTATGAACAGTATTATGTCTGTCTTACTTAAGTGTTATTTTGTTTATTACAAGTTATATGGTGTTACCATACAAATATTCAAGTGATATCCATCACATGTCTTGCTTAACTTTCGATAACTATCAAAAATCGAACTTCGAGTGGCATCTAGTCGAATATTTGTTTCATAATTTTCTAGAATGAGTAAATTCCGAATGCATTTGTAAATATAGCAAAAAGTATTTATTATTTTGAATCTTATTTGGAATTTATCATGACATTCAATAGTTAATTTATTGCGCTTGTGCATAAGTTGCATAACGTAACATACATTTTTTACGTATTGCTTGTTTAGCATAAGCCGCGTTACCTTGAAATGCTGTTAGTTCAAATACATTTTTAACTATGCCAGTTTTTAAAAGATTTGTTATGCCTCATTTATTTCTATTTATCCATGTTGAAGCGTCCATTGCATATTTAAAGCGCTATAAAAAGACGTGATCTCGCTTTTGTGCAATTGTAATTAGTTTCTAAAAACAAATGCCACTGCAATTGATACAAATCTATTTGCATACAATGTGACCAATGAACCAAATGTGAATGAGTAATAAGAATGCAATGATTATGATAAATAAATTAGTTTATTTATAAATTATGGTAATACCTGCTTCCTTAGGTTTCGGCAAATTTTCAAACCTCAACGCTGCGTGTCTTCGTCGAAAGGGATAGCAGGGAAACCAACCACCGCAATGATACCACCTTCTTCTTCCCATAATCTGTATATTCTAAGTCTTTTTTTGTCTGAACAATGTTAAACTCTTATGGCTGATTGCAACGGAGCACTGAGCGAAACTGCTTCTGAGTTGAAGTGTTTTGAATGTGCGCCCATGTGCGTTTTCTGATGTAGTGGGATGATTTTATTGCCTGCCACTATATTACATCACATTGCTTGGAGCACCATTTATTAATTGGTATTAGGTGTGTGAAATATAATTGATTTAAATTGAATTAAAGTATAGTAAATTTGCGACTAAATTGACGTTTGTGTTTTCTATTGAATCACATGAAAAAAGTGGGTCAATGTATTTTTGGACCACTCTTTCCTTTAAGCGAATTTATTTGTTCTGAGTGTTAGATCATCGATGGAATTTAAATTTAACATCGTTTCTTTGAAACCGACTAGCGTTCGTTTAGTGATTAAGTGTCATTCATGGAATATTTAGTTATAATAGTAAATGCACGTTATAACTATTCGTGCAATGTTTTGTGAATCACTTTCACTATTATAACGAATGCAGTTTAAAGGTTACAACATACAAAAATGATTTGTTCAATATTAATTATAACATTAAATATCTAACTATTTAATTAAATTATTAGTGTTTTAATATTAACATTATCACATCGTTATTATTTTTTATGACTTATCCCATCATTTGCATCCAATGATATGTCCAAATCAAAGTTATTAGAAATATAAATAACCTATACCCGGCATGTCCAAACAGAGGCCCAATTTTTAAATTTTGGTATTCAGACAATAAAATGCGTTCTCGTAAATAAATCAAAAGATTTGAACCGGTAAATTGCCATCAAAGTTTTTATAAAAAAGTAAAAATTTGCAAAAGTTACGTATAGTTTAAAATTCATCTGATTCTTTGTCGAGTTGTAACGTGTTGTAATCATGGCTGGAAGAGGAATTGAAAAGAAGAAAAGAAAATTTGAAGATGAGAACAGAGAGTTCCAGAGTGAATGACAAAATTTGTACATTTTCATTCAAATAAAACACAACGCTATTTGTTTGATTCTATTTCAATTTTAAAATTGATAAACTTTTTATTTGCGAACGGAAATATAAGTTGCAATCATTAAAAATCAATCTGAAACTCAACAAAACATTTTTCACAATCCAACTTTCGATTATCTCATATTATTGAGAAGAAAATGAAGCCCTTTACAGACGGTGACTACATCAAAGAGTGTCTAAATACCACAGTTGAAGAAATCTGGCAATTTGCATTACATCATTTGTTAAAATTAAATATAGTGAAAACAAATTTCCGAAGCGGTTGCTAGATGAAAACACTACCAATCAACTACATATGATTTCCCTGGTGTCCTTGGGTTAGCGGGTGTAGTTGCTGGAGTTAACAAAATTTGTTGTTGTTTGGGTCTAGGTGAGTGAACTGTCAGCTCTCTGATCTTTTTGTAAACCGTATACCCTTTATAGTTCGCTGGGTGGTTGCCTTCGCAAAGTGCACATTTTGCTGGTGACTGTGGTGATTTGCTGCACTCAGCTGTAAAATGCTTTTGGCCGCATTTCATGCAGCGCTGCTCTTTGGAACAGTAGTTCTTTGTGTGTCCATAGCATTGGCACCGAAGGCACTGCGGTACTTCCCTTCTCTTAATCGGTGCTTCGAAGGATATTTCTTGATGCAGCAGAAACACAACATTATATATGTCCTTGTTGTTTTCTGCCTGCTTCAGATCTACAAAGAACATGGGAAGTTGTTTGCTTGAGTCCTTGCTACTTCTTATATTACTGACATTCTGTACAGTATGGGCGAAAGACTCAATTTCCTCTTTTATGTCCTCAGTATTGCATGAAGGCTGCATACCTCTCAATACGACCCTAAAGGAGCGTTCAGTTTTCTTCTGGTTGGAGTGGCATGGGCTGTGTTTATCTTTGATTAGCACGCTAATTTATTCAAAGTCATTGGTACCATTCGCTTGTACATTAACTGTTTCTGCCCAAACAATTTGAGCATGTACGCGTTCTACCCGACGGTGTCAAAGTCCTTGATTAGTTTGTTAATGTCATCCACGTCTTGGATGAAAAACGGCGGTGGTTTTGGTACGGTTTTATGTTTTGTACTATTAGTTGGAGTGTCTTTCATTATTAAATTAGGAATTTAGAAGTAAAAAGAAAATGTAAAATTATATAGGAAAGAAAATATGCATTTTCATAAGAATTTTTTTTGCGTAAAATTTTTCAGTGCTGCACCTTTCTACCCGCTATGCTGACAAGCGGGATACCAGGCAGGAGCACACACTATCCCAAATACAGTAGAGCGCAATGTGTAAAATACTAGAACTCAACGCGAACAGATATAGAGCCGCACATGATTTACTATATGCTACTGCAAAAGATGAAAGGTCGATATCTTGGCAATCAGCGAGCCAAGCAGGATGATCAATTTCTCAGCAATGACCGTTCAGGGCTGGGCTCTACGAAAACTAAATGAAAATATACTTTGTCAATCATTTCAAGAAAAGCTAAATGACATGGCAAACGCGGGCCAACTGCTGGAAGCAATCACAATAGCGTGTGAGGCTGCTGTGCCAAAAATGAAGCCCAATGCTCGCCAATTGAAGCACATATGCTGGTGCAGTGCTGTGATAGCATATATGGGACAAAGACGCAGCGACGCAGAAAGCGCGTGGAAAAAGAAAAGAAAAAGAGGCACTCAGAGTGGTTAGGAAAATGTTAAAAGGGGCTATCAGTAAAAGGCAAAGGGAGTGCTGGAAAAAAATATGTGGATGCCTTATTAAAAAGAATATGTTATTGAGTTCCTTGTGATGTAGAACAGTATTTCTCAAAGTTTTTAGTCTGCTACCCCCTTTTGCACTTAAATATTTTAAAGGACCCCCGAAGAATAATATGGCTGAAGAGAGAACCAGAAAGAGAACGAAAATCGTATTTATTATTTAAAATGTGTATTCGTTACTTTCTTTTATTTATTCTCTTATCTAGTTCATTATTTTATCTTTAATTTTATTGTACAACTAGGTTTATTTCAATTAATTATTTTTATAATTTATATTAAATAAAAAATCAGATACTCAATCATGGAGAACATTAGTCAATGGAACTGTAATGGCTGTGAATCCCATTCACGCGAATGGCCCAATTGAAGTTTTCAGCTTTATAGATTTATCTTTTCAGATATAAAAAATGAAATTAAATGAATTAAATAAGTAGCTACAAGATTAAAATAAGCTGATTACAAGATATAAAATCCTTCCCGATAAAACTCAAGCTTTATAAAAATAAAGTACGGTCAAATAATTCGATTTATTTCTCATTATTCACTTTATATTTATTAATAGTGACCATAAAGATTTTAAAAAGTTCTAAGAAAGTCACAAATTTACCAGTTGTATATACAAAAATAAGTGTCACATTAACTATAAGGTAATAAAATATTTTGAATAAGTTCTTCGTTATATTTTTTATATGTGTCGCTAGTTTGCTCGAGGAAAATGTGCCATGTAGCATGAAGATTGGAGTATCTGATCTATATATCTGCCCGATTTTAGCTGGTGTAAGACTTTGAGTCGACTCATTTCAACCCTGATTACATTCTCTTATATTGACTTGTCATTCTGTTCGACGGCGTTGGAACCGGGTTTGGACTCTCGACACTCAAACAGGAGTGAAAATGGTCACTCCCATACCTGGTGCTTTGGTTACGCGGACTGGGCGGATTGTAGTTGTAATGTGATTCTTCCAGACTATTCGGATACGGTTGATGCGTCCTTAAGAGAACTTGTTAGTTGCAACGTACAAGCAGCAGAATCTATCATTTCTCGCACTTCTCGATATGTGGCAAAACGAGCTGTGGTCTGGAGGAATGATGAAGTAAGGTTGTAAATTCAGGAAAATAAGATTGATTTAATCCGATTTAAAAATACCAACAATATCTTGCGTCCATTTTTGTAGACTCATGATGATCCCTGACTTACTCTGAGAGGATCTCCTATCGAATGAGTGAGACATATAGCTTAAATTTCCGAGCCCACATATTCCAGGATACTACTCGCTGTAAGACAGTTTTAATTTGTATAGAAAGGGTACTGACGTTTTTAGGTGAATCTGACCTTTTGTCCAGATTATAGTATCTTGTTTGATCCACAGTGACATACTAATACAATTATTTTTTTTAACTTATTTATTAAATTAATTAATTTATATGTTAATTTATTTATTGACCAAATGTACTTATCTAAATTTGACGTCTTATTGAAAAGGCTAATTTGAAGGTTGATTCCTGTTGAGGTTTTTTCAAATATTTGTTTCCTTTATGTGATAGTAATATTTGAATAAGTTTTTTCTACAGATCATTACTGTACTTCTTGTATTCATTAAATACTTGCAAAAAGGAATCTGGTGACCATAAGATGCTGAAACATAAGCTCATGTTCCATGCATTTCTGCTGCATTTGCAAGAAGTAGCTCTTGCTTTCTGTAATTAATTTCATTTTACGTTTATCAAGGAGCGTCACTATTCATATTCCTGTTGTCTTTCCTTATTACAATCATATTCTTCCTGGCCCCAAAATGTAACATAAATGTGTACAAATTGTAATACGTGTCACATTTCCGGACGGCAGCTACTTTTAAAGTTGAGTCATTTCCTTCTTTGCAACTTTTATCACTTCCTGGATGAGCGTACAGAAGCGACTTATATAGACACAGTTCTCTTAGTCTTTTCAAATTCCTCCTGATGGCCAATACAAGATGCCCAATATTTTCATTTCATCTGCAAAATCATTGTACAACATGTAGCAATAATCGATTCTAATTAAAATCTTTCTTTATGGTGTAAAATTTTAACTAAAGTAGAGTGTTCATTTTCAGTGTTGTCAAATTGAGTGTTTGGATAAAATTGAAGCCTTAGCAAATAAATTCTGCCACTTTTTACATCGAAAAAATGGAAGTTTTTTTTACCTACATCTATTTCTTAAAAAATAAACCTTCATTTATTTATCAAATATTAGCAGAAATATTATTTTATTTTGTAGATATTTTTTTAGGTACATATTTATTCGTATTTTTTCTAAGTATTTAACGTATGATATGGTATATACAGATATTAAAATTAAATCAATTATCAATTATGATTGTGGTAATAAGTATAATTAGTTTCTTTTTCTGGGAGTAATAAATGTGATACAAGCTATAAATAAGACATGTGCTCATTAGATAAATGATAATTTATAATAATATTGTTCTAAAAAGATCCTGCGATAAGCGAAATGAACTACAATTACCATTGACGTAGCAACTATAGTGGATATGCCTGTATGCGCATTAATGAGATTTTCGGGTTAATGAGTTAAGTGAGATAGCCTTATGCGAATTCAAATATTTAATTTGGAGGTGTTCAAGATTTTGGCTTAGTTTTTAAATGTAAATAATTAAAAATAACTTGTTCTTCGCATTCTATAAAATTTTAAATGAATTTTTTCACGCGGTTTGTAAATAGGACAGTAGGACATTGGCATATAAATTGACTACGCTAACTGGTAAACAAATACCTCTATACATGTTAATATATTTTTCTATATAGGGCCTAAAACTTATAAAATTTCCTTTGTACTTTTTTGTATGCAGGTGTAACATTTAGTATCTTCATTTGTGGGTAAATATTATAAAAGTTTTTGGGATTTTTATTTACATGGAAGAAAATTTATTATAATCATAATGAATTTGAATAATATTAATTAGTACTCTTTCCGTATGAAAAAATGGAATACATTTAATTTTTTCTTGTCCGAAAATATGATATACAATTTTAATTGATTTTATTCATGAAATAGTTTCAAATATCTAGTAAAACAAATAATATTGCAATAAGATTTAATATACTTTATTACATTGTTATATAATTAATCTATTTGAAAGATTATTTGGGTATAAGAATTATCTTAATGTATCCAATATGAGACTGAGCAGACTTCTTGGATTACGCATAATATTTATCAGAACTGTGCTATTATAACTCATTATCAAAGTAAATGTATATAAAAATAGCAATATTACTAATTCGTATTTCAATGTAAAACCACAAAATCTTATATTTATAAATGAATTTAATACTTAAAATATGTTATAAGTTAACTCCTAAATATATGCCAAACATGAACAAAATTGTTAAAAAAATAAGTGTTCTTGTAGATCTACCTACATAAATCAAACAAACAAAGATGCAGTGACAATTAACTATATTTGAGCATTTCTCGCAACATCGGTAAGATCCAATATGATTTTGTTTAGGTATGAAATATTAATACTAATTCCAACAAAATCAAAACCTCGTGGAATCTTATTTGGAGTGTCACTCAAAATGTCTGCGGTTGACTTGACTACACACTGCACAGTCTTTCAGGCAGAGCTTTCTGCTATCAACTGAGCTTTGCACTAAGTATGGGAGAACTCTACTTCCTTCATGGAATACTTCACTATATTTGACAGCTATTCGGACCTGGAGGAACCATTCGAGTACCAGGGAAGTAACGATGATGATTTTCCGATCGCTTACTGTTAGTACTGCTCTGTTACGATCACATCAGTAATCTGAGCGAAAAACATATGACCATCGCTATGAAGATAACATCCTTGAGTTACGGAGTTGTACAGATAAACTAAATGATTCAAAAAAATCGATTACTATAAGTCAATTACAAAAAAAAATAAACGAACCAGAAAGAGGAGATCTACCACCAACTTAGGTGGTTCAGTGGTGACATGCAAAACACTATTTTATCTAACGATGTTTATGCTAGTGTTTTATATATAGTAATCAGTTTCGCTTCTACAGTAACCTTCTACATAAACAGGCCAGTAGGTGAAACCGTCTCCAGTCATTTTTTTATAAAGATTGAATAGTTTAATAGCACAAACTACATCGTCTTCAATATCATCATCTCTTAGTTGTTCGCAACTTAAATCACAAGAAAGTTCTGTAAAAAAATAATTAATGCGATTAAAATAATTGAATTTCTTTGATTTACCGTGTGACATATCTTTATTGCTCATGCATGAAACATCAGCTATTGCAAATATACCCATTTCTTCAGTTTCGTGGTCCCAATAAGCGGTATTAAGATCGGACTCTTTGGTTGCTATACACTTAAATGTAATCGTATCAACTATTTGCACTCCATTAAATAAAAGTACCATAGATAAATCTTCTACTTTCAAATACCTTCCAGATACACCCACAACCAACAACAAAATGATTGTGGATGCCACATACATTTTGCCAGCAAATTTTACAACAATTCTTTACCAGTTTTTGCGCAACACTTTTATATATGCCTTATCAAAATGTCTATTGCTATTATTTTAAATAAAACATTATTTATATTCTTTTGTCACCGTTTTCACGTGCCTGATTTATCTAAATTTGCGATTGAAATTATGGTTATTTATTGACAGAGTGTATGTTGTAGTGATTCATTGTTTACATTTTTATAAACTTTGATAAAATTACAATAGTGTTATTCATTGGTTTGAATATACGATGCTTTAAAATATATATATATATAACAGCCTATGGATCTTGGTTTGGCCTATGGATCGATAGTACGACGGATATTTTTTATTGAAAAACTACAAGTGTTTGCTGTTCAAATTTAGATATTTGAATAATTCTCCTTCGGACACGACAAACATATATGAATAATATTCTTTATTATATTTTTCATTCATACATGTAACGTTCTTTAAGAACGGTAATCGAATGTTTGTTTCATTATTGAAATATGTTTATTATTTTTTTATAATGAATATGTGTGAGTGGGTGGTTGACATCCAAGAAAAAAGTTGCACCACTCCAAATCTTTATGGATATAATAAAATTAGATGATGAGCAGATTGCGTTCGATTTGGGGTCGCAATTATTACTGTTTTGGGTACCTTGGTCATTCGGAAATTCTCCGGAATATTTTATCCATATATTGTCATCCGAGATCAGATTTTCTAATTGTTTATACCGAATAGATTGTGAATCAACTTATTGCGACATAAACAGCGTATATATTAGTCGTTACAAAATTATTGATAAAAAAGTATAAACGTGAGTTACACGTAAACCCAATCATTGAGATAACTAAAAGGATTGCAAAGGAGAATCAATAATAACAAAAAATATACATGCAAATCAAATATAATTTTATAAAGCATTATAATCTATATATAAATTGTTTCTTTTTATACAGAATTATGAAATATTAATAATTAAATTATTCTTAACTGCAAAAAAAAATATTTTTTTATAATTTCACCATGAAACTCAAAAATTATGTAAAACACTTTTGTTTTCCATGAACAGCGAAACGTTGAAAGGCTCTCCAATTTTTACATAATCAATAAGGATTTACATAATCTCAAAGGAGATATCAATTAAACTTAATGACATTATATCAACATCTAGTTTGAATTCCTCATTTAAATAATAACGTGAGGAACTGCTAGAAGTTTCTTGGATACCACTGAACATAGTTTT